GAGAGTACATAAAGACGTGGAGGCCGCGGTATTTCTTGCTGAAGAGTGACGGTACGTTTATCGGCTATAAGGAGCGTCCGCAGGACGTGGATCAGCTGGAGACGCCGTTAAACAACTTCTCCGTGGCACGTGAGTCTCTCACACAGACCTCAACTTACTACAGTCTGCAGGAGAATCTGAGAGCATAACGTGTGTGTATGCATACAATTACAATACAATTTTATTTATATAGCACAGTTTAAAAACAACCGGAGTTGACCAAAGTGCTTTACAACACTATACCAACAATAGGCAAATTGCAAAATTGCACATTAAATATACACAGAATATACACTGTGTATTTAGAGGCTTTATGCATGGGTCAATCCAGCTTAAAACTGAATCAAGAACTAGTGTAGTACTTGCCTCGTAATGTGCATTGTGTAAACTAAAAACAGTATGTGAACAGCAATAATAAACATTTTAAGGGTTATTATCAAATGTTTTTATGACATGCAGTGCATGTTTACTTCAATGAATGGTGTGCAGTTTTGTAAATAAATGCAGTTTAGTTATTTTAAATTTTGTGTAAAACAAAGTCAGACAAACAAAGAGATATGATAGCTTTTTATTTCCGAAATGGAATTAAGAAAAACTTTTTTAGCTGGCAATTCTGGCTTTTTTGTGCCTGAATTGTGAGAAATAAAGTCAGAATTAAAAGGAAAAAAGTCAGAATTGTGAGAACTGTGACAAGCTTGTTTCCAAAAATTACAAAAATAAAAATGGAAATTGCAACTTTGTATTTCATACTTTTTGTTCTTGCAATTATAAGTTTATATCTTGCAATTTAGACTTTCTCACAATTCTGAGTTTAGTATAGTGTGCAATTCTGAAAAACACATTTTCTGAATTGTGAAATATAAAAAAGGTCAGAATTCTGAGATATAAACTTGCAATTGCGAGGAAAAAGATTGCATTTTGAGATATAAACTCAGAAAAAGGTCAAACATTTGAGATTAAAAGTCTCAATTACCTTTTTATTTTTTTATTCCATGGCAGAAATACATTTTAAAATTGCATTTTTTTATTCCAGGTTAATTTGCAACATTATAAGTATTTTTTTTTGCACCTTCTAAAGTATTTTTTTTTATGAAACTTATACATAATACACATTTTTGTTTGATAAATAGCACAGAGAAAGTTAAAAACAGGCTAGACCAAAGTTTTAACACATCTTCAATACACAGAAATGAGAAGCAACAATTAAATCTATTGTAAATATAAAACTGATCGCAGTGTATTTCATGCATGCCTAATTTAAATATAGAATTTCAGGTTAATTTGCAACATGGTAGGTAGTTTTTATTTATAAAGGATTTTTTAAAAATAAAGCATATTAGACATATTTTTTGATAAACGACACTTTAAATGAATTAAAAACAATGCATTATATTCTACAGTTGTGACAAAGTTTTAACATCGTTAATAGACAGAAATGAGCGACAGTTAAATATATTTTAAATGCAAAACTGATTGCAGTGTATTTTATGCATGCTTCAAGTATATCATTTCAGGTTAATTTGCAACATGGTGGGTAGTTTTTATTTCTATAAAATGAATGCAGTTATCAAATGAATGCATATTATTTTGTTTGGTATATGAAACTTGAAATGAGTTTAAACAATGCATTATTTGGATATTACAGTAATGCATGCTTAATTTAAGTATATAATTTCATGTAGTTTTTTTTAAAAGTATTTTTTGTAAAATGAATGCAAATTAGACATTTTGTTTGATTAATGATACTGTAAATGAATTAAAAACAGTGTATTATTGGGATATTACACTGATGTTGTATTTTATGCATGCTGAATTTAAGTATATAATTTCAGGCTGATGTGCAAGGTTGTATTTATTTATAAAGTATTTTTGAAAAATAGTGCATATTAGACATTTCGTTTGATAAATGACATTAAATGAGTTAAAAATGCATTATATGGACAAGTTACTGCAAAGTTTTCTTAAATAGACGGAAATAATAAGCGAGAATTAAATCTATTGTAAATATAAAACTGATTGCAGTGTATTTCGTGCATGCTTAATTTAAATATATAATTTCAGGTTAATTTGCAACATGGTAGGTAGTTTAATTTATAAGTTATTTTAAAAAAAAGAGTGCATATTAGACATTTTGTTTGATAAATGACATTAAATGAGTTAAAAATGCATTATATGGATATAAGACTAACGTTGCGGCAAAGTTTTCTTAAATAGACGGAAATGAGAAGCAAGAATTAAAAATATTGTAAATATAAAAGGGATCGCAGTGTATTTCGTGCATGCTTAATTTGCTTAATATGCATGACTGGACTTGATGTTATTCTTCAACTAGTTCCATCTGACCTCCATCAACTCGAACAGTTTTCTGTTTCCTCGAGGGACGTGCAGAACATATTAAACACATCCGGGCCGTCTCCTCCAGTCGCACCTCAGCACAATTCAGTGAAGAAGCCCCGCCATCGCTGCGAAAACTGTTGAGATGATTGAACAGACTAATTAGACAGCCATAATGTTTGTTCAAGAGAACGCTTCCTCCCTGACACTTGTGAAATATAGTGGTTATTAAGTGGCTGATCCTCATTATTTATCTCGCCGCTGATGGAGGCTCGGGTTGCAGCGTTGGATCTCAGTGGTGGTCTCACCCGGGTCCTCCATCTCGTCGACAGGCCTCTTAGGTGACACATGTCTCCTCCACGCTTGCTCCGTGACATATGTTTGCGGGAACGCGCTGGCAGAATCGCTGCTGGATATTGGAGGCGATTGTGCTTTGTGGCACTGAAAGCATAAGTTTTCCTCTTTGAGTGAGCACTTTTGAGGGCAGAGAACACAGACGCTGCTTATTTCGGCTGCTCTCTGAAAAAGACGTGAGTTTGAGTTTTTAACAACTGATGACATTCCCGTTTTCCTCGGACGCAGTTGTGCATTCGTCGTTGGAATCGCAGAAGCATACGTGTGTGTGCATTGATCGTCAATATCAGATTGAAGTTTGACATTTTTTAGATGTAAAACTTCATTTCTGACATCGCAACACACCCTTGTTTGCAAATGTTAGGAGGAAACAACATATTAATGTTGATTATTATGCAAAATGACAATAAATGAGACTTTGCACTGATTATTAACAAGCATAATATGTGCTTATTTTTTACCTTTTTTAAATTAACATAATATTTACCACAGTAACATTTATTGACATCATGCATTTGATGAACTTTTTTTTTTTTTGAAGAATTCTTGGATTTCTTTGATCTTTAAATATAATTCAAAAAAAAAAAAAAAGATAAAACAAAAAAAAAAATGAAAACTTCTGACCGATTGCATAAGAGGACAATCAATAATAATAATAATAATAATATAAAATAAGACACCAGAAACGTTTCCCAGAATTTATGGCCATGTCATTTCCGTCAGCCTTTTCCTGAGAAAGACAGAAACATTGATCTGGTCAACTCGAAAGACAAATCATTTTTCATCACGTTGTCTCTTCAAACTCAGACATATTTTCCATCCACAATTCATCACTGACAGACTTCATTGTGCATATGTCCTAAAAATATGTATAATAAATATATAAATAAAAAATTATAATAAAATAAAAAAATGTACTATATATAACTAAAGAATGTATACATTAGGTGTACTATTGTTTAGTCAAATCAGATAAATGCACAATATTGATGTTGATTATTATGCAAAGTGACGGAATTGTTACCATGCAAAATTTAAGGAGGTGTAAAATCAATATGTGCTCATTTTTCGCTGTTTTAGATGGACGTCTTTGACTGCTGCATCACGTCTTGTCTGTTTTTCCGCCGTCTTCTGCCATGAGCTTTGCTTTTTAAGATGCTGTCAATTTAAAAATAATTTTACAAATTAAAAATACATAAAAAAAACAAAAAATGCTTCTAGAAAAGCATTTTCCCCCAGTTATACTTTTTCTGAGTTTGACATTTGTTTTAGATACAAGACCATTTCTAACATCGCAAAACACCTTTGTGAGCAAATAGTAAACAATATTATTACACACAGTATTAATGTTGATGTCTGTATTATGCAAAGTGACAGAATTGTTACCAAACATACACCACAAGTCAAACATGTGGAAAAAATTAATTTTTTTTTTTTTTTAAAGTCTCAAATCAGCATATTAGAATGATTTCTGAAGATCATGTGACACTGAAGACTGGAGTAATGATGCTGAAAATACAGCTTTGATCACAGAAATAAATTATATTTTAACAGATATTCACATAGAAAACAGCTGTTTTAAATTATAATAATATTTCACAATATTTGTGTTTTTACTGTATTTTAATTAAATAAAAGCAGCTTTGGTGAGCAGAAAAGACTTCTTTCAAAAACAATAAAAATCATAATTATTCCTAACTTTTGACCATATAATCAATATGTGCTAATGCTTTTAACCTGCCATCCTTTTAAAAATAGAAAATTGTTTTAAAAATGGTTCCGGAAAACTACATTTTATTATCATTAGCAAAAACCAAAACTAAAACCATTTAAAAACATTTTTGGTACTGTAATAAAATATAAGAAAAAAACTTAAACTTGTTTTATTCCAGCTAATTGCCAAGGAAACATTTTTCATTTTTGTTAAGTTTAAGTACTAAAATAACTAAAACTAAATATACTGAATCTAATAAATGTAAAAAAAACAACTAATATATGTTACAAAAACACACAGTAAAAATTACTAAAACTTTAAAATTAAAAACAGAAAATCTAAAAATAAAATCTGATTCAAAATATTAAGCTTTTGTTTGCATCTCACCAACTTTTTGGATATAAAACTTAATTTCTAACATTGCAAAACATCCTTGTGAGCAAATGTTAGGAGTACATAACATTTTCAGATTTTCATTTAATATTATTGCACAATATTAACGTTGATTATTGACAGAAAATAAGAATAATTGTCACCATGCAGAATTTATGAAGGCATATAATATGTGGTCATTTTAAGCTGTCTTGCCATTGCATCACATCTCGCGGTTTCTCCACCATCTTCTGCCATTAGATTTGTGTTTTTAAGATGCCGTGACGAGTTTAAAAGTGCTTTTATAAGTTTCTTTTCCACTCTTTCTGAGGGCTGAGTGGGAATGATTTTCTGTTGCATGCCGTCAGTAGGTTTTAGCTTCTGTTTTAGCCCATATTTTCCCTTTTAAAGTGCATGAGTTATTGAAGTGTGTGTAAGGTTTGCATGCAAGTAATCATGCAGTGCACCTGTTCGCCGCTCCCTACTGAGTGTGTGTAATGTAGTGCTGGAGAAACTCTCAGATAAAGATAAATGATTGCTGCCATCATTTCTCTCGCTGTCCGTGTCTCTGGTGTGGTTTTCCCCGGATGTGTCCAGAGTGTCAGCTGATGAAGACGGAGCGGCCCAAACCCAACACATTCATCATACGCTGCCTGCAGTGGACCACTGTCATTGAGCGCACCTTCCATGTGGAGAGGCCTGAGGAGCGGTCAGACACACACACACACACACACACACACACTCACACTCACACACTCACACACACACACCTGCATACCTGCACCTTATTCACTGTATATGTGCTCAGACATTCAGCTTAATTTACAGAGAAACTAGTGTGCAAGAACCAGGGTGAAAAGCCATACAAATGCATGTACATTACTTCAAATAAAATAAACATTAACTGAAATGAAATAACAAACTAAATAACCTATTACTAAATAAAAATTAAAATAAAAACTAAAATGAAAACAGAAAATATGAGAACAAAATCAAATTCAGCATATTATTAAATAATAGTATATCAATGATGCTAAAATAACACTGGCAAGCACATTAAACTTTCACTTAAGGCTGCTTGATTATGGAAAAATTATAATCACATTTATTTTGGTCAATATTGAGATCATGATTAGCATGATTACTGGTTGACTGAGATGTCATGCGTTTGTTAAGTGTTTTTTCCCTTGAACTTTAAATATAATTCAACTGAAAAACAAAACAATAGTAAAAGTTGAAATTAAACTGAATAAATAAATAACATTTAAATTTTTACATTTACATAAGTTTAAATAAATACCAAAAATATTTATTTGGAAACAACATGCATTTGTTGAAAGTATTTTTTTTTAAAGAAATCTTAGATTTTTTTAACTAAGATAAATTATATGTAAATATATTCACATTTCAATAAACATATAATAATAATAATAATAATAATAATGAAAAATAAACTAGACTGAAATAAATTAGATGTAGGTGTACTGTTGTTTAGTAGCATGAGATAAATGCTACTGAACTTACATATACAGTATATTAACAGGAGCTTATATCCAAGCAACTTACAAAGGAACATCATAGACAATTAGTCCTAATATTTGCAGAAAAGCAGCATTGGTTTGCATGTTTGTTTGTGTTGTTGTTGTGTAGAGAGGAATGGACCAAAGCCATCCAGACCGTGTCCGACAGTCTGCAGAAACAAGAGGAGGAGATGATGGACGCGTCTCCAGAACACATGGACATGGAGATGTTTCTGACCAAACCTCGGCTCAAAGTGGTACTTAACAGACACTATAATAACAATAATAAACACCATAATCATATGTGACCCTGGAGCACAAAACCAGTCATAAGGGTCAGTTTTTCGAAATTGAGATTTATACATCATCTGAAAGCTGAATAAATAAGCTTTCCATTGATGTATGGTTTGTTAGGATCGGACAATATTTGAAAATCTGGAATCTGAGGGTGCAAAAAAATCTAAATATTGAGAAAATCGCCTTTAAAGTTGTCCAAATGAAGTTCGTAGCAATGCATATTACTAATCAAAAATTAAATT